TCGTTTGAGGGGGGAAAAAAAAGGAGCCAAGGGTCCTCATAGCCGATAATGTGGGACCAGGCAGGACCCTCCATATAGTGGAGAGGCGGTTTTGAGAAAGGTGAGCTAATTATTTTAATAGCTTTAGCACTCTGGAGGGGTTTTATGTGGTTCCTGCAGTCGAATGGATGGATGGATAACGGGGGACACGCTAGATGTAATAACTCAGTACTGCCAGCCGATGGTAGTAACTCAGTACTGCCAGCAGATGGTAGTAAAGTGTAGTGTGACTTTCTGCACTCGACTGACGTGCCGTCGTCCCGAGTTAAATATCGCGGCTCTAAAAAAATGTATATACAGTATAACGAACAGGATTTTCAAATGCTGTATGTATATATTCATGTTTGGGTCTTGTACTTTTAAAAGATAGAGCACATTTCCCTCAAAGTCAACTTAAACGTTTTTTGCTGTGCTTTAAGCGTCAACACGAAATATAGGGTGTTTTTTGAGAGGGAAGCAGGGTTGCTCATGGGGTCCGATCCCCGGAGTTGTTGAACCCAATTCACTGTTAAAACAAAGTCCGAATTGCTGTGTGTATTTGAGAAATGTATTTTACAGTGAAGAGTGTGCTACATGCTTTTTACTAATTCTATCCATCCATCCATTTTCAGCTCCGCTTATCCTGAACGGGGTAGCTAGTTGCTGTAGCCTCTCTCAGCTGACTTTGGACGAAAGGCGTACTACACCCTGAACTGGTCGCCAGTTAGTCACAAGGCTCAAATAGAGACAAACAACGATCCACACCAACATTCACACCGTCACTGAGTGGGCACCGAACCCATGCTGCCAGCACACAAGTCAGGCGAGTGTACCACCACACCATCGACGACACCATACTAATTTGTAGAACACACATTTCCGGAGCTACATCATGTATTTATAAATGATGCTAACGCTAGCACATCATGAGTGGTTTCGTGGCCGGTCCGAAAGACCACTCAAGTATTTCATTTGCGGTCGATTATTGTTGCTCTGAGCTATAATATACCTCCCCAGCATCCTTTTGAACCCCCTCCACCAACTCACACGCACCCCCACGCCGCAACAGTTGGCCTTCCCTTGTATCAAATTCATCTTTTTATGCACCCTGTCTGCCCGAAAATCCGCAAAAGCCCCCACACATGCTCACCGAGACACGACTGACACCCAGGAAATATTAAAGCGGGCGGGGTGCTCTCCATGTTTAACATTTTACTGTTCAAGCCTTTTAGGATCGATCTTGAAAGACATTATAAAGAATCCATGCAAGGCAAACCAAGGTCAATGGAACGGAGGCGATTAATGATTACTTCATGTTCAGGCAAGAACCTGCTTTGTTTCAAGCAGTGTAATTTATTTAGGACGTGCACACAATTAGGAGCAGTGGCACGGTGATTTCCTTGTGAAAAATACTTTCCGTCAGGAAAATGTTGGTCTGTGTCAGCATCGTTTGAGGGGGGAAAAAAAGGAGCCAAGGGTCCTCATAGCCGATAATGTGGGACCAGGCAGGACCCTCCATATAGTGGAGAGGCGGTTTTGAGAAAGGTGAGCTAATTATTTTAATAGCTTTAGCACTCTGGAGGGGTTTTATGTGGTTCCTGCAGTCAGGGATTTTTTTTTTTTTTTTAAATAATGTTACCTTTGTTCTGTAGCTGCTCACGTCAGCGACATTCATGTTCATGAAGTGTTGACCTGCATTACTGCAAGAAACCTGATAGTTTTGAATAGGTAAGAATAAGTACCCATTAAATAACGTACGGAATTGATCTTGAGCATTCTACTCATCAATCTTTGGGCATTATTAATCCTTCGTGTCAAAGTAAAAACTCAATATACCATCTGAGTGGTGCCTTGACATAAAGGCACAGACGTGCTATTCATCAGCTTCTGCCATGCCAAAAAATGCGTTTCTTGACATGATTTTTTTTCCACAGGAAAAATTACCCTCAACTTTTACTCTCCATATTACATGCAAACACAGACAATTAAAATACAAACGTGTATTGTCCTTCCTGGTTCTTCATCACTGGTTTTATTCTGAATAAAATCCCTCAAAGTCATCAGCCATGACTAGTCATGAGGACAAGCAAAAGGACAAAAAGTTGCTTATTAACTTTTTTGGTCTGTAAACGTTCCATAAATTACCCCCCCCCCCAAAAAAAACCTCATCCACTCTATTATGTGTCAGAGTGACTTACAGATGATTTTGAAATATTGCACAGAAACCAAACTTGAGGTTTCGCCCGATGAGCGCTAGCAGCTGTTCGCAAACATCAAACGTAACCAGTGTATATTCACAACAACAAAAAAAATCAACTAAAACATCCGTGCCTCTGTTCAAAAGACGCTCACAACTCAACCGCGTTTGAAAAGAAAGTCTTGGGATTTTGCATGGAAATATAAGTGGAAGAGAAGCTCACGAACTCTTTGGCGACGGCCAAAACGGCATTCGTGAGTCACGACGTCGACCTCCCAGCTGCTCGCCCGCACGTCTGCTGGCACGAGCGCCATTGAGCAGACTGTCCATCAGCCGCCATAAGGAGCCCATTCGACTTGGATTTATTGGCCCGAAAGATGTGTTACGCATGTGATTACATGTGTTCTGATTCCAAATAACACCACAGGAAACAGCCCACTCACTTAAAAAAAAATAAAATAAAAACATGCCACATTGAATGCATCAGTTAGAGAACAATGCATGCAAATAAGCAAAAATGCAATGATGGAAGAGAACAAAGATGCCCACATATACTTTATTGAAGGGTAGATCGAGGGCCGCTGCAGCAAAGCGCAGGCTATCGACACTCTAGCATCCGCAACTGAAGGCACAGTGATGGCGAAGCTAACTTTAGCATGTGTGTCTGTTGTTAAATTGGCAGCAGTGGTCAACAAAAGGGAAGGTGCTCTATTGCTATAAGGTAGCATGCTAGCAATAGCAAGTTCTCAAGTAGCACTGAGATATATAGTTTTCTTGAGGTTAGCATACAACCCGATAACATGTTAGCACGTTATCGAGTCTCACTAACCGTTTGAAATAGGACGACGACTGCTAACAACGTGTGAAGTTGTGGATCTGGCTCCGTTTATTTGTTACCCATGAGGCTACGCAACCCTGCTAAATTCTATCAATATAGACCAGGGGTCCCCAACCTTTTTTGCACCACGGACCGGTATGAGTTGGGTCTTTTTTTCACGGACCGGCAAGGTGTAGCAGAAAAATATAGCAAAAAAAAAACACGACGTGGCGAAAAACAAATAAAGGGAAAATATAACTCACCCGCCGAATTAGTGGGAGGCCTGCGCTTGTTTCGATGAGACAAGATGGTCCCATCTAGGTGTGATGGAAGACAATGAGACACGTAACGTGTTCCTTACGTCCAGCCTGCTCCGTAACTTTGTCTTGGTTGCCGTCATTGCAGAGAAGCCCGCTTCGCACAGATAGGACGTTGGAAATTGAAGCAAGGTTTTCAGCGCTCTCGTAGCGATGTCAGGATATTCCGGAATGACTTTAATCCAAAAACTTGGGAGAGTGTTTGTCTCAAATGTACGTTTGAGGTCGCCGTCATTTGCTATTTCAACAAGCTGATCCTCCTGTTGCACAGACATGCTCGAATCGCTCGGCTTGTTCACAAATGGGTCACGAATCCACTCCTTCGCAGTCCGTGGGTCTTTCCTGCTTGGGAAGTAGCGCTCAAACTCTTGTGAAAGTGTCGACAGGTGTTTGCGAACCAGCTGAGAGAATGCGCGTTCAGGCGATGTGTCTTTCAGAATTCCCGCAACTGTATGAAACATGTCAAATATCCCTCCATTCACTCGCCGCCCCCTCAATTCCAATTTGGCTTTAAATGCAGCTATTTTATCTGCCAACTTAAATACTGTTGTCCTTGTTCCTTGCAGTGACAAATTTAATTCATTGAGCAGATTAAATATGTCGCACAGGTAAGC